GCTCGGCACCTGCTCCCTCACGGCAGCAGCTTCTGCAGCGGGGTGCCCCACTTTTTACGGGAAATACCGATTTTTTTTTTTTTTACCCACGGATTTGAAGCAGTAGAGATCCACGTCAGGAGCAACCCAGCAAATTAAGGGGAAGACCATTTGCGGTAATTAGGTCAAACAGTTTCTGATGGAGCAATTAGCGGAGTGAAAGAAAACCCAGTGTAATGTTTCTTTACTCCTGGTACCAGGGAGAGTAAGGGCTTTGGGTTGTTTATTCCTTTTGGAGCTGACTCTCAGCACAGCTAACACTGGTGCTTACCTAAGAGCTCCTTAACAGGATGCCTGCCTTAAGGTAGGTTACTTACACCTACCAAGCCGCACTAGCTGCACTTGGAGTCACTTCAGTAAGTGTCCTGGAAACCTTCTGTGGCATAATTCCTTAGACTGGGCTTCTTTTCCTTGCTTGCTGCTCCGTTTTCCCATTAATGAGCAGTTAATTTTTACCATAATTATCTTCTTTTCCATTATAGCAGGACAGCAACATCCCATGCCACTGAAACTATCAGAGAAGAACCCACTTCCTCCAGCATCTCAGATTCCAGGGCTCAATGACCTTGCAAAAGCTTCCCATGAAATGCCATCTGGGTGCCGCAGGAAGTGGATCAAAGAGACCGATTCAGCCTACGTCAGGCTGGCAAAGCAAGGAGGCCAACCTGGTGAGTGTCACTCTCACTTGTTTTTCTTTGGCTTTCCTTGGCAGGACAAGGGGTAACAGCTTTAAATTGAAAGCGGTTAGATACTGATTAGGTATCAGGAAGAAGTTCTTCACAATGAGGGTGGTGAGGCACTGGAACAGGTTGCCCAGAGAAGCTGTGGATGCCCCATCCCTGGAAGTGTTCAAGGCCAGGCTGGATGAGGCTTTGAGCAACCTGGTCTAGTGGAAGGTGTCCCTGCCCGGGGCAGGGGGGTTGGAACTAGATGGTCTTTAAGGTCCCTTCCAACCCCAACTATTCTGTGATTCTATGATTTGATTGAGTGTGGTGGTGGAAAGTGCTTGTAGATACTACATAAGAATCCTCTGGAGGTTTGAAATTCACCTGTGGAACAAATAAGCGGTTGGAAAGGTGACATAAAAAGTCACCTTGTCAAGACAACCTTGCAGACATCCATTGTGTATTCATACCTTTTAAATGTGTAGTTTTGCGCTGTGTCTGATCTAAGGAGATGATGGCGGTTTGGCTGTGTTTGTGTGAGGTCTTTGCAGTTTACACTTGGGCTATGTAAGTAGTGGGCTGGTGAAAATGGTGTCACAAAAAAAAAGCATCAGAAAACTTGGTAAAGATCTATAAAGTGTTTTTTTTTTGTAGTGACATTCAGTTTATTACAGCTCTGTACATACTCTGTTCTTGTACCAATATGGTCTGTGGTTTTGTTATTTCCTTTATTGCTTAAAGCAGGGTGATAAATCCAGAAATATGAGTTAACAGACAGGTAGAAACATGTCAGTGCATTACAGCAAGATCAACAAGGTACAAGTGGGACACAGTGCTGCAAGTTTCTGACTGTCCGTTTTGTCAAGAGAGACAAATGGTCCTTACTGAATAGAGGAAGCATTTCTTCCTAATAAAACAGCCACCTGAAAAGTAAGCTAATGTTTTTGCAACCAGATAAGAAGTCAGGAAAGTAGTGGGTTTTGTCTTTTTCTTTCAAGACCTACTGAAGCACTACAGTCCTGTGAAAATGAAGTCCTCTCCAGCAGCGTATGCTTTGCCTGACTGGTACACGCACTCCTCCAATCCCCCAGCAGTCAGTGAGCCACGGTAAGTCTGCTGAGACCCCCCCAAAACTTCCTGCATTCCTTCTTCACCTGCTAGTGTTTCAGAATAATTCTGTAGTAAAGTGCCATCTAAAGTGTGTAACTGGCACAAACAAGTGTTACATTTTTGTCCCCAGGAGCTATGTTTCCTCTCTACCAGGTTATATGATTCACAGAGGGTTTAAGGCTGGTGACCATCATGGTAACAGTTGTGAGCCGAGAAGAGGGCCTTTTGATTTTGATGTGAAAACTGTTTGGCAGCGGGATGCTGAGGACAAAGAAAACACAGAGAAAAAGAAGGTATGATTTAGAGGCACACTATGATGATGCTTTGTTTGTAGAGCTTGTATGGACACTTCCAGCTGGGCCTGTGGTTTCTTACAGAAGGGAAGCTGTAGCGCAGAGGAATTTCTGTATTCCAGAAGCGATTTTTATATTGCAGTTAGAGAATGAGAAGAAAGCTGTGTTTCTCTTCAGTGCTGCAGATACAGCATACGAACCAAAAATGCAGTTTCCAATCACAGTATATGGTATGTATACTTAAGCGTGAATGAAAGCCAGTAGTTAGTTTCTACCTCCTTAGGCGTTGTTCCCCCTGCAGTTCACTCTTGGTGAGCAGTATTCTTCTTTAGTGATCTTGGGGGAGGAAGGAAGAGAAACTGTCCTGAAAAAAAAGCTTGTTTTAGTTTCAAACGCAAGAGAGTTCTGAAAGATACTGCACTAACTGTCTTTGAATGGAAGATGTATCCAAGACAAAATAAGTATGGCACAAACTATACCCAGAACAAACCTTTCTGTGATGGTCTTGGAAACCTGTCAGCCATTCTCCCACTTTCATGTTCCCTGCCCTTTCCATTTTACATTCTGAAGCCTTCTGGGTTTTTTTAATATCCTCCATAATCTTGGTTGCCTCATTTACCATCGGTTCATGGAAAGGCATTTGATGAACCACCATTACCTCCTTTCTTGAACCGAGGGGGCAGATGCTGGACATTTTAGAAAAAAAAAGTCCTTTGCGGAGCTGAGTAACTAGTGCAAATTCAGAACGATGGCTTGTGGAAATGGGAATACCTAATTTCTGAGTAAGCTTGGGGATGTTTACTTAATCTGCCGAAACAGGCAAACAAGCAGCGTATGCTTAAACTATAATCTGCCTGATGCTTTTAGGTGAAGTTTTTTTTCAGTCAGACATTTAAGGGACTGAAAATAGAAACTCAGCCTGCCACGGAGCCTCTTAAAGGATCGAACTAGGAGGAAGTGCTGTCCTTTGCTCCGTTACTTAAGGATCACTTATCTTCTGACTCTTAGAGTACTGATTTATCTTTGATAACAGTAAGTGTAATTCAGTTTCATGTGGTGACTGGTAAGGTGAGACTGAGGTCCGTTTCTGTTTGAGTGGAGTTTGATCGAGACCTGGTTTCATTCAGCCATGCAAATGGATATTCAGAGATGTTTTATCTATCACCACACACAGAGTGTGTATATGTTTTATATATATATATATACAGCTTAGATTCTGAATGTGCTGAGGCCCCCTGATATATAATTCATACTGCTCTTCTGGAAGCTGAAGTTGAGGGGTTTTTGTCTAAGGTATTAAATCTACCCCAATAGTTTTCTTTAAGAAAACTAGGTGCCTGAGAAGGCAGATTCTGTGTCTCTAACTTTAGCTCCACCTCCACACCAACATCTCTGAAATGTGGAATCGACTTCACAGCACCTCTCTTGTACCCTTAAAAGCATCTCGTTTATCTTGAAACGTCACAAGGTGCTTCTTTCATAGCTATTTCTTGTATCTCGTCTTTTAGAAGGTTACTATCCTGTACTTTAAGAGTGCCTTCCTGGGGAGTTTTCAAGTGAGAAAGTGGAACTAGCCCTAACAACACCACAGGCAAATTTCTAAGGAATGTTTGATGTATTTGACTATGTGATGATACTGTAGCAGCAAACTACCTGCAGTAGTGCTGGTGACTGAACATGTTGAAAATATTTTGACTAAGCAGTTGTTGAGAAGAGAGAAGTCCCAAAGGGCTCCCCTAGGGACAAGTGCAAAAAACATTTTAACCTCTAAGGGTATCTGTTCTACTCAGTTTGGAAAACATTGTTCCCGAGTGGGCCTTTTCTCTGGAGCTTTCAGCCTTTGTGCCACTTTGTTCTGAAGTATTAGTCTCCAGCGTTATGGTTATCACTGCATAGAGGAGGACTGGAGATTGGGGGACCATTGTGTGGTTCTCCAAGCCATGGAATGGATCCTGTGGTTCCTCCTTAATGCCTTAATCGCAGGGATAATGCTGGGAGTTTTGCAAAGTAGAAAAGACGTGTTAGTGCGGGAAGGATTTAGCCTTTGTGCCCGTGGCAATGTGATGGACTGCTAGCCCAGGTGAAAGCATCCTTTTGTCTATGCATCATGAGGACCAGCTGCGTTGGGTTGAACATGTGATGACCTGCAGGAGGAGGCAGGCCTGCCTATGGGTGGGAGGTCAGATGGAGATGGTGTTAGGCAATCTCCCTGCCGCACCAGTGAGACTAATGCTTCGTTTCTGAAGTCAACTCTTTCAGGCCCTTGCCTGAAATGTATGTGTGTATATGCATACGTACATATGGATGTATTCACCGTAGCAAAAGGGTTACTCACCTGAGGTCAGAATTTTACCTCAGACTGAGATTCGAAAGGTAATTTATAATTGGGGTTTACCGGCACAAGGGCCTGCTTTTAGTGCTGAATTTGCCCAGCAAAGTAACAAACAGCACCTGATGGGATTGCAGGTGCCCTCCAAAACCAAATTCTGATCTGTTCCCATGCTCCTTTTGTCACTTATTAGCCAATTGGAACATTAGGGAACGTTCTGATACCTGCAGGTTACACTAGCCTGTCTTGTTTAATACCAGGAAAAGACAGCATTTAGAACCATGTGAGAGACTTGTTAGTAGCCTTCAAGTCTATTCTCATGGCCCTTCCTTTCCCCTTTTTTCCCTTGGCTTGAGTTTTGACATTTGTGCCTTTGTCTGTCTCTAGACAAAATTTCTCTAGGCCTCCCACCTTTCCTTGCCCTTTAATTAACTGTTTAATTACTAGACATCCTTTTGCAATGCTTCTCTTCAGTGCCAAGAGGAAAATCTCATCTCTTTCCATCTACTATTTGTATATCTTGCCTATCAAATCAAGTTGTTTTTCTGTGTAGCCCTGTGTATCCTCATGCCTTCAATATGTGACAGAAGTTACCCAAGAGTGATGATTTCTATTTGTCTAATGAAGTTGGTTTTGGCAATTAACTGTAGGTAACCTTGTCCTGAATCTGAAACTTCCCATGGCATGTCAGATCTGAAATGGTACAGCTTAACTATGGACAGAAAACAGCACTCATTTTTTTGCACAGTAGGACAGCATTCTTGAAATGTAGAGCACATGTAAGCTGCTTCAGCAGAGAATAGCATTACCGGATTTGAAAAGCAGTGCTAAGCAGGTAGCCTTTTTTTTAACCTCCAGGCTGGACCACAGACCTCCCCTTCTTCATCTGGCATCACTGCATGCTCTTGCTAGCATTACCTCTTCTCTGTCAGATGTCTCAGTTTTTCATCTCTTTGAGCTTCAACATAACATGTCAGGCTGAAATCTAGTGGCCCGTCCACTTATTCTTTACCAGACTCCGGAATTTTTCTTCTGGTAAAGCTCTGGAACTTTTCTGAAGTCTGTGGGGATTTCAGCACTGACTTGGCATGGTGGTTTCCATTGATATCCTGTTTCTGAAGCAGCAGAACTCTCTGTCCTAGGCTTCGCTTTCTCCCAGGTCATTCAGGTCTGCTTCTTTTAGTGACTTGTTAATTAGCCCACTGATTAGATGTATTCAAATGCCATTATACCTTTCTTTGCTCTTTCCATGCTAGATGTGCACAGGCTCCTTGCAAAGTTCATGGTGTGTTTATATCCACTTTGGAATCTTCTCCTCGTGGATGTTTTCAATGGAGTTGTTTTGTAGAGTCTGCAATCCAAGTGCAGCTGCTGCTGCTGACGCGTCCAAGTTTTGCGCTCTGTTCATAATTCTTGGCTCTCTTAACTGTATTGCATTAGGTATGCCCACATGGGGGAAAGGTACTTTTAAATTTACAGAGCAATACACTTCACTCCTAGTTACCTTGTCCTGTGTTTTGTTTTTTAAATAACCTGCAAGTAATGTCTCTTATCCTCTTACCCTATGGGGTGCTCTCCTGTGTTGCATGTTTAAAAGGGAAAATGGTCATATAATGTGTAGGCTCTAATTAAAAGGATATATTAGTCTAACATAAAAACTTTGGTAATAGGCCTTGAAAATTTTCTGCTATCTTCAAGACCTTCCCCCCCTCCCCCCTTCATGCAATGAAGAAAGATGTAAGTTGTCTTTAAAGATGTTATGTTTTTTTTCTTTAACCTCACAATTTCTTAGCAGCTATTAGTGAAAGATATCTGGGAGTTGCTTAATTTAATGCTTTTATTTGAGAAGGAAGTAAATTGACACTTTGGTAGCTGTTGATTTTGTTCAAATTTAAAATAACCAGCTTTGATATGTGTTGCTAATGTTTCTCCATTACTTTTTGGTTTTCCAACGTTCAGTCCTAGAGTTTGTGATGTCATTTCACTGGCTTTCTCAGTCTCATCTTTCTGCCTTTCGGTCTGCACTGTCATTAGCAACTGAAAGATGATAAAAATAAAACACACTTTTCTGTTGTCAGCTTCTCGCATTGTATCTGCATTTGTCTGAATTTCAAACCTCTAACGTGCCACATCTGTTTTCTTATTATATGGGATGCTTTATGCTCTTTATTTAAAAAGTACTTAAACTGGAAATGCATTTCTTGTCCCACCGTCTTGAGTCAGACCGGGATGTTTTCATCCACTGCGTACAGAGAAATGAGCCAAGGTGAAAGGTTGCAGTGGGTGAGTTTGACTTTGACGTTTAGCTTTGGGTAGGAGTGTACGGTGAGGGAAGGCCTAGTGGAGAGCACATTTTGCATTACTGACATACTGAACAAACAGCTGATCTCCTCTGGAATAACTCAACCAAGGTGCTGCTTTAGCTTTTACTATGCCTTCATATTCCTCTACTCTTACTTATGTAAATAATAAGGTAGTAAAATTGGAAGACATTTAGGGCCTTTAATATAAGTTTCATTTTTGAAGGTTATATTATTATCAAATCTTCTTGGTTCTATTTATCATAATTCCTTTTTTGAAGTTAAGATTTCTCTAATGCAGGTAAAGCTCCCAGCTATAAACCCTAAATATCCAAACAGAATGCCGAATGTTTCCACAAACAAGGAATTCAGTGGGGAAAATAAGCTCTTCTTCCCACCTATGTAAGTAGTACGCTTTTGAAATTCATTATACTCCTAAGCCTTCAACTATGCTTGCATGCAGATAATATTGCTCCTTGTGACATCTCAGCCATTAGTGGATATGTGTGTGGGCTTGTGGATCCTTACTGCTACTAAACCTAATGTCACAGGTGATAATGAAGTAGTTTTACAAACAACTGAAATAATAGCAGTTTAACCCCTGTAGGAAAGCTGTTCGGTACAACATTGCTTTAGGAAAACTAAGCATACAGTTGCATGTCTTCATGTAGCACACTTTTTATCGTGTTTTAAATTGTCTGGGTTGTTTCTCCATACCAGTGAACAGATGCAAGCTATAATGCACACTGTTAGTTCTGTGAGCGTGGGCTACAGAGACACGAGCAGGACTAGGATTTTAAGAAAACACATGAACTGCAGCCTGTATAAGCTCAGGCACAGCAGAAACACTGTAGTGAACACCTGGAAGTTAGTAGTCTTTTAAGCAAATTATTGTATCACTTGTGATGTGGTGTAATCACATCATCAGCTATGTGCAGAACTGAATCGTTTCTGTGCACTTAAAAACCTTACACACTCACCAGTGTGTTTTAGAAATATGTTAATGATGAAAAATAATGATTAAACTGTCTAACGAATTTATGAGCAAATCTGTGACAAAATTTCACCTTCATGCAGCGCAGATGAGTTGTGTCAGCCTGTTTCACTTACACATCCTTTGTGCGATTTCCCTTTTTCCCTTTTTCATCTCTAAGACCAGAACTGCTTGGGTGTTACACATGTTAAGTTCCGGTAAATTGGACGGCTCTTCTTGAGTAAAATTACGCATTATTGAATCTGGCATTGGTGCATGCTTTTTTCTTTTTTCTTTTTTTTTTTTTTGTTGGTTGGTTTGTTTTTGGGTTTTTTTGTTTGTTTATGGCTTTTTTGTCTTTGCTGATTACATATAGAATATATGTTTAGCTGCTTAGAAATAAATTATGTTAAGCCCTTTGTGTGCAAAATAAAATTTTCCTGCCTAATCCCTATTTTTGTTTAGTTATGCTATTGCTTTCCTTAATATATTTGGATTTACAGGCCTGCTCAGAGAAAAAGAGAAGCAGTAAACTTCAGCAAATTGATTAGCAATGGTTATGGGACCGAGTGGTTTCAGCAGTGTACTGGAAGGGAAAAAAAGATTCAAGAAACAGCGGAAAATAGCGAGCAGTCCAAAGGTAAAATTATGGAAAGCTGTTTCTTTTAAAGTGAGTTGGAACCTCAAGATAACAGCAGAGGGTAGGTCTGCTGCCCTATAATATAATTTGTGTGACCGAGACCCTGTGACCAGCTAAAGGAGAGAGTGCTCGTGTTTGTAGTCAGCGAAGGCAAGGGCTTTCATGGATTGTTTTCGTCTGTACAATTGCAGAGTATGCAGTTCTGATGCAAGGGCTTCTGTGTGATGTGTTTTTTTGAAATGCTGCAGGCATGCAGTTGTCCCTCTGCCTAAATTTGAAAGAGACTGTAAAATGTTTGTTGTGAATAGTCTTTAACCCCTAATATTTTTCTGAAAATTTCTCTGACAAATGCCATTGATGCTCAGTTCAAGAAATAGATCACTGTCCATAAAAATTTGTCACAATAAATATATGCCCATCACTGAAGAAGACAGTGACGTTGCAAGAGTTTTGTTAGAGAACAGTTATCCGGTACTTACCCATGGTTTCAAAGCTCGCCATGCACAACGGTAACAGCTATGCAAGACACCACTTGGAAATGTTGAGATATAAAGGTTTAAGGGTGGAAAATGCCCCTTATTTCTGTCAAAGACCTTGTGCTTGGGCTTTTTACAGTGGCTTGGTAACCATGTACGTCAGTTTTCTACAGCAACCTTTTAAAATACTATTGAACATACACATTGCAAACTCTGGATTTTTTTTAATTGTATCAGTGAATGCTAGTGTAGTGAATCCCTTGACCTTGATATGTCAGCGTGTGGAAGTCTTAGAGGCCAGTTAATTTAATTTCTGTGACACTTTAGCACTTCCTGAATTCATCTTTGTGTCTTCTGTTAGCATAGCTACAGTAAGTTTTGTGTGTGTGTGTCTCCAAAACCTCTTTCCTCCAGAAGAGAGTATCAGAAGAGAGCAGGCAGACAGATAACCCGAAAACCAGTGTGTTATTGTTCAGAAGAAAAACTACTGTTAAACTAAGGGGTGAAGCCAGATCTCAGTCTGGGTCTGAAAGAGGTCACATAACCTGAGAAGCCAGTCTTCAAAGTCAGTTTAAGTATCCCAACTCTGATCATGCAGAGAAGCTGTGGATGCCCCCTCCCTGGCTGTCTTCAAGGCCAGGCTGGATGTGGCTTTGAGCAACCTGGTCTAGTGGAAGGTGTCCCTGCCCGTGGCAGGGGGGTTGAAACTAGATGGTCTTTAAGGGCCCTTCCAACCCAAACCATTCTGTGATTCTATGATTCTATGCTGCCTTGGGAGGCACAGTGACCGTGGAGTTCAACCATGGAGCCTAGAAGTGCTCTTCCTATGCATGAAAGAAAACCTCTCATGTTATTCTTTTGTCTTCAGATTCTATTTAACTTCCTCGTGCACTGACATTTTTGTTTTCTATTACTATGAGTACAATTGAAGGATTTGGGATTTTCAAAACCTCAAATTCATTCATTTGGTGATAGCTGATTTCTTTAGTGTGAATTGTGCCTCGGATGGAACATTTGGGATATAAAGAAAGCTGAGTATTTTTCAGAGTAACCATGATATTGCGTTGGTTATACCACTTAGGTATAGAGAACAAAATGATGGGTATACTGTAAAGGCTGCTGAGAAGTCTGTGTGCTGCATAGTTGGACAGATAGATACATTTTTGAGATGCTTTTCCTCGACAAATTCTTAGATAACATGACACCTGCTTTGCTTGTATTGCCTTCCTTTGTCAGTCATAGCTATTCCAATTGAGACTGATTCTGTGTCTCAGTGTAAAGGGAATTTTTTTTTTTTTTAATGCTGTGTGGTTTCATCCAGACATATACCTCGGTTCAATTTTGATCTTGTCCTTTCCAGTCTTTCAGGTATGTACCAAAGGTAGTGCTTGTGTTTTCTGCCCCCTTGGGTACATTTGTCTGCTCATCCAAAGCAACTGGGGACATAAGCACCTTGCAGCTCCCTTTCGAGATGGAGCTTTCTCGGTTATCGCTTGCACAGGATAAGTCCAAGACACATCAGCCAGGAGACATCACCCATTCCATATGTCAGTCTCTAACTTGCGTGTGTAGGGTTATAGATTCACATCATACTGCAGACTTTGTAGGTAGCTTGTCTATCTTGTTAGTTAAAAATTAAAAGTACTGGAGTTTAAATGCATGTTGACATGACAGAGAAACTGAAAATTTTTATTGACCTTTTCATTCTTATGGTTGAAGTTATCCTAAGAACTTTAATCTCTTTTTATTGCAGATTCAGAGCCATCACAGTCTGAATCAGCACCTGCAAGCAACAAATCAAAGCCACTGTTTCAGGGTTGTAATAAGTAACTTAAAAGACTGTTAGGGAAAGTAAAGCCTTATATGGCTTATATAGTCCACTATTTACATGTTTGTGAGATTACTTTTTTATAGTCCAGCTCATCCCTGATGGAGAAGTTAATGTGGTTTATAATGTGGGTGAACTTCACTGTGCTTGATTACAGTGAATTTTCAAGAACAGGAAATAGCTGTCAGTGCGTATTCCTAGACTTTTTCTTAAATACAATAAAGCAAAACTAAATTCTCTCCTACACTGACTAGTGCTCCTTTGCTGTTGTGAAATAGGGTTCCCATATTGCTGCTGATCTGACTAGCCACGGGCACGATATCCATGTGTCCAAACCAGCAAGTTTCTTATTTAGCTGCAGTTACGCTCCTGACCTGTGCCATAAAGAAAAGGTGAAGGGGAACGGTAAGGTTTGGATTGAAAGGCAAAGAGAAGGAACTGAACCGTTATGGATGCTTACAGTGGAAAAAGTCAAACCCTCACTGAAAGATGGTTGCTTGATCCCAAAAGGATGTTTATTTAGACCGGATGTTCTGCTTTCTAGGACAAATCTATTGCTGTGCCTGCTGCACAGGAGGTAGTTGATCAGCCATTGTGTTCAGCCACATTATTAAATTAAGACCTGGTGGCATTTCCTGTTACAGTCTTGTTATATAGAAGATAAATCGTTGAGTAACAGTCGTGTGGACTAAGCTATGTGTGATGCTTGCCCTTTCGGCTGTCAAATAAAGGTTTATTTGAAGTTTTGACTGCAACTAAAATATTATGTGCTAGGTCTCTCTGTTTAGTGACACCAGCAAAACAGTTGGTATTCTGAAACAGCAATGCGTATAAATTTATTTTAGTAGTTTGAAAAAGGTAGATACAGTGGTACTTTAACACTTGCTCTTTCATCTACTTGAGTTAGTTTATATCCCTGAAATCTTATGAATAATTAAATAGTTATTATAAAGCCTGTTAGAAAGGGGATGCAATTTCAGCAAGATATTTTTTGCTAATACTATGAGAAGTGAAGTTTTTAATAAGTAAACCGGTAATTTTTAGTTTCCTTTTCAGAGTGTGTTGTACACCTCTGTTCACTCACCCTTGTACATGCAAGAGCTGAAGCTTTTGAAATGTGTTACTGAACATACATTTCTTTGAACAGAATATTTAGAGGAATTGGTGCTTTTCTTTAGAAGTTTGATAGGAAAATTGACTGGAAGTAGGTTTACCTATTGCTAATCTGAACTTTCAAAATTTTCAGTGAAAGTTCATGGAAATTTTGCAGTGGGTGGTGTTAGACTCAGCGTCTGAGTCCATCTTGGCTGTGCATTCTGGCTAACAATTCAGCTGTCTAAGTTGTATTTACAAAAATAAAGAGCTGAAACATATGAAAACACCTAAATGTACCGTTACTGGTTAGTCAGCAAAAATTTTCCAAATATAAGAAAGCTTACATCAAGTGGTATCTGAGACAGGTGACAAAAAATTACTACTTTAGATCTGTTTTCACTGAAAGTTGTTATTGTGGATTATGCTCAGATACGGTAAAACCATTAGTTCTGTGGTGAAAGCAGAGCTTTTGGTGAAATCTGCTTTTCTAGGTTACAGTACCAGTGGATGCCGGTGCTGGAGCTCGTAGTATGAAACCTGACTAAGCACTGAAGAACAGTGCCAAGCCTCTTTTTTTTTTTTTTTTTAATGCTTGTCAGTTGAATGAGAAGGTGTTTTGTTCTTATATATATTGAATCCATTCCAATCTTTTAATAGAAATTTTTCTGAAAGGTGTTTAGTACAAATTGAAAAAGTTGGTGACAGTAATGTTAAGGCCAAAAAACCAACACCCCCAAAACCAACAACACCCCCAAAAAACCCAATGTGAGTGTTTAAAAATTTATAGATCACCTGTTAACGTAGACTTGGCGGTGCTTGCTGTGCCAAATCCTTCAAAATCTGTTCCCTAAAATAAGAATTTCTGTGTAGCTGCAGTACTGCTAACCTGCGGACAAGAGTTGCAATCTTTCCTTTCTGTAGGATGGTCTCCTTTTCTTATTAGGATCAGTACCAAGTTTCCTAAAGTAAGTTTATTACTTTGAGTTGTTTGATGTCTAAGTCGTCTTAATTTTTGAACATTTTTTCCTCAGTATTAGAGTTCTTATCCAAAACTGTCATATTTTTAGGCAGTGGTTAGAGGCAGAACGGCAGCTGAGATCCCAACCTGGACCCTCAGCACTGTTATTTTGCTTAACCGTAGTTGTGTTCTTACAGGTGTTTATATAGTGCTGGTTTTCAGACGTTTTAAGAGCATGTGCCAGATCCTGTTGTAAAAGTGGTCTCTTTTCACCTCGGTCACCATCAGGTAATATCCACATGACGTTCCTGAAAGTTTGCTGGATGTGCCGTTAATGTATACTCAGCTTTCCTTAGCCAAGCCGAGGAGATGTTTGATCTGCACTGTCACTCAGCTGAGACGTCACGGATCACAGCTTGTCTGTCACGAGTTAGAATATTAACAGCCTGAAGTGCTGCTTCAGACCAGGATTTCTCTTTGTGAGAGCAGGTGGAGGACCCTGGGGTTTGTGCGTTCAGGGTAACTGAGCGCTCCCACGGGAGTGTAACTTCCCAGCTCTCCAAGGGATGGCAAATCCAAGCTGCGTAACAAACGTTAAAAGCTCCAGCTGAATTCAAGGATGGAAACGTCTGGCTAGAGTTCCCCTTGCCCCACTAATTCCCTTGTTATTTACTTCCGAGTTGACGCAGCCATGTGACTGCCAGTTTTCAAAGTCAGCAGTGATTCCATGTAAAAGCTGTGGAAGGGTCTGGAAGGGTTTGCTGCGCTTTGTTTTCCAGCGAGATGCCGAAGTCAAAAGCTGGGCGCTTACTTAACAAAACCCAGCCTTGCTGTTTTAAATGCTGAAATGTTCATTTAGCTTTATTGTGCTCCGTCTCTGACCTCAGTGCCTTTAAGTAGCAAGTGAGAGAAATTCCTTGTTTTTTGAATATTGATTGCTCTGCAAGCCCAAAATAAAAACAAAAGCACAGTAATGTTTTGTGAGTTGCATCCAAGTATAATGAATATGTGGATATTTTTTAAAGAGAATTCCAGATTTAAAAATAACTTGGCACTTTACGTACCAAGGAGTTAATTTTCCTTGTACACACAACTTAATTGTAACGAAGTCTAATGGCTGTTTTTATTTTAATGTGACTGAATATATACTTCATTCTTACCACTTACATCTCTTAGACTAGAGTAAAATGTACATGTTTTCAGAGATCGAGGCTATATATACATTAACTTTCTTTGTGTAGCAGTGCAAACAAAAATTTAATTGGCCTATGCTTTTCTTAAACATCTAAAATGTCACTGACTTCAGCGTATCTGTTTCCTAAATACTTGTGTCTGCGCTGAATGTGGAGGCAGTTGTAAAAGATGTAGGATGAAGCCCTTTTTTTTTTTTTTTTTTTTTTGGTAAATAAATAGCCCAATATTCTGTGTGTTCAGTTCTCTGCAGATTATTTTTCAGAATGTAGTTACATGCCATGCCTTGACAAAAATACCCCCTAGAAATAGAGAGGCTCAGTCTTAGCACGTTTTGTCCTCCTTTTAATAGTTTAATGATGCTAAACATCCTGAATGACTGAAGAATCAAAGTGCAGTAGGTCTCTGAACAGCTGCGCTGAATTGTTTGACCAACTGACCATAAAAATGGTGTTTGGTGAGCAGAAAGGAGTATCCTTTTGATAGGGAAGGACAGGCAGCCTTACTTTCTATAGGTGCAAGTTTTCATCGATGCAATACAAATAGCTGAAAAGTGAGGCTAGTTGCAGGTTTTGTAATTTACTGTTGTAGTAATCCCAGTATGTAGTTGTGTTATTTTTCACCCTTCTAAAACAACAATTACGAACATATTTTGTATTTTTACTTGATGTATCTTTCCCACTAAAATACGAAAGGAACTGAAAGCCGAAAGATTACAAAACCAGGAAGATTAAAACCAATTTGAATTTTAAAAATCTTCTAGAGATGACTGAGAACAAAGGTTATGACCAAGTATGAGACTCCCAGATGCATTATTTATTGAACATTTCGGACAAGGTAACTATAGTAACCTGATTATTCTTTATTTACAAAAGAAGTAATTGACATTGATTATTCTCTTAATATATTGCTGAATGACAAGCCTCCTGAAAGGCACAGCAGATTTTTCAGTGGACCCTGAGATGAAGGGGTAGATAATATTCCTGTTTAAAGGAAAAGTTTCTTCCATGGCATTAACATACTGTTGTAAGGTGCTTATTTTGGATTGTTCACAACCAACGCTTACAAGTTTTGACAAACATTCAAGGAACAGAAAAACAGAAGATGCATTAGGAGGCTTCACTTCTGTTTTACCTATTAGAGATGTAAATAAGTTGGACAGGTGATGGTTTTCTTAGTTTGATGGGTGATTTCTCTTGTTTGTCCTTCCTGGCTAGAAACGCATCTGTGTGCAGGGGATTTCTCTCCTATACCCATACAAAGTCCTTTGATGTGAGGTGGGAAATGAAAGAGATTTGACTCTAAATGCCCAGTATGTGATTTTGTAATCAATACATCTTGGTGATGTCTTGTGCTGAATGTGCTCCCCCTCCTGATGTACAGAAGGTTAGGTACTGGGAGGTTTTAGCTGATCCGTCTCCCAAGAATTCTTTGACAAACTACAACGTGGTTCTGGTTGGGAAAATGATTTTTAAAATTGTACTGCAGGACTCTGGGTTTAATGTCTTCAGTTACTGTATGATCAATGTTAAATTTATGCTTACAGATTGCTTTATGGCTTTTGGTTTTGCTACAGATTTTCTGCTAGTTGATGAATAATGATAATCCTTTAACCGTTTTACATTTGTTTGTTTCCAGTTGTGCCAGGTTAAGTTTAGCCACTCTTGGAAGAACTCCTGTTTGGCCTACACCTCTCTCAACAGATTATGTACGAAGAGGACACTGTGAGACAGAGCTGGGAAGGTGTGTGTGAAGCTA